GTAGTAGTAGTAGTAGTAGTAATAGTAGTAGTAGTAGTAGTAGTAGTAGTAGTAGTAGTAGTAGTACCTCATGAAGCTGATTGAGAGAAGAGTGCAAAGGTGCCTACTTTGGAGAATCTAAAATGTAATTTAGTTTATTTAACACGTTTAAGTCTACTACGTGGTTCATATGTTCCTTCATAGTCTAGAACGGTGGTTCCTAAAGTTGGGGTTGGGACCCACAGCAGGGCCCTGAAACATTATGGTGGGGTCCTGAAAATATCTTCTGAATTAATTACACTAAAAATAATGACAACATTTTTTGTCTTTGTTGTTACAAAATAATAATATTAGTGTACTTAAAATGGACAAAAATAATGTAATAAATAATGTTACTATGCTCTTGTGTATTTGATGTGAAAACCATGTTTATGAACCGACAACAGCTGGGGGCACAGGACTCTGCTGCTGGTACCCTGTGGGTCAAAAGCTGAAAAGTTTGGGAGCCACTGGTCTAGATGAGTCAGTGTTAATTTACTATGTCGGAACAAAAGGAAAGACATGAAAACATTGAATGAGATGTGTCCAAATGGTTGAATGGGAGTGTRTAACATTTGAATGTTAAAAAACACACGTCTTGTTTTGTTTTGGTTTCTTCTTCTAACAGCATCCATCTCCTCTTTGTCTTCTGCATCTCTAACATCCTTCTACCCACTGTCCCTCCTCTGGACATGTCCAAACCATCTCAGTCTGGTTTAAACTCTAACAGTGGTTCAACCTTTGGTCGTCTCTGTCCTAATCTCCATCCCTGTCGCTACCAAAAAGAAACCTTTTTGTCCCCCATAATTTATTTGATGGGTCATTTCTCTGTTTTCCACTCTAGGTGAACAGGAAGGAGCTGTCTCGCCTTTCTGGAGATCCCACCCTGGACATGCAAGACCCCGTGCTGTCCAGCATACTGAGGCGGGGGGTCCGCAGACGAGCTGGCCCACCTGGAGCTCCCGGAGGCCAAGCGCCAGTGACCTTGGGCATGGCCGACTGTGTGGACAGCTGCACCCAAACAGACATCAGCTTCCAGCAYATGCTGACGCTGGGCAGGATCGGGCAGCATCCCTGTGGAGCTCCACCCCCACCTGACCCCCCTCCCTCACCTCCGCTGCCACCACTGCTGGAGCCGTACCTGTTCAGCGACATGTGAGTGGGACCGGTTGAACAGGTTTCTGTGGCAGGTCCAGCCATCAGACCTGAACTCATCTGCTGTGTTTAGACCATCTGCTCACACAGCTTCATTCTGAATTCATCAGATTATGGTCTTAATTATAAAAGTACTCATGCATAAGAAAACACCTTAATGACCATTTGACAAGTTTATTCTTTTTGTTGTTTCTGTCACTGTTCCCAGTTTGCTGTTGACAACATAATTTTGCTGGGATTGGCTGAGAAAATGTAATCAAGAGATCCACAATTACTTTTAACATTTAACATTATTTGATAAATATTTAGTTTAACTGTAAAATAAAGACTGTAGCAGTACTGTAGGCTGTTTAGTTTTTATACATTTTTTAAATATTTTGCCACATAGGTGGAGTCATTTTATTAACATTGCAAAGCATTCCGGGTAAATGATGCAAGCGTTATCCACCCTGAAGTTTAATCTTGGACAATATCTGATGATCGGCTCTTTTAAATGAAACCAGAGAGCGTTGACAGAGAGGAGAAGGTAGAAATGACTCAACCTGTAACTGAAAATATAGATGGAGGACAACAGAGCTGCTTCATGGAAGAAGAACCTCAGCTTAGCCTGTTAGCCTTTGCGCTAGCGCTGAGCTAATACTTATACTATTTATGGCATTATATCGTTAGTACCTGAGCCAACATAGCTCTTGAACTAACCCCATATATACGTACATGTGTGTGTGTGACATTAGTTTATTTACTGTTAAACAGCTCTGGAAAAAATTCAAAGGCCACTTTAAAATGATCAGTTTCTATGGTTTTACTCTTTAGGTATATGTTTGAGTTAAATGAATATTGTTATTTTATTCTATGAACTACTGACAACTCGTCTGTGAAATTCCAAGCAAAAATTTGGTATTTATTTGCAGAAAATGAGAAATGGTCAAAATGACAAAAAGATGTAGTGCTTTCAGACATCAAATGATGCACAGAAAACAAGTTCATATTCATTTAGAGACAACGATACTAATGTTTGAACCCAGGAAGAGTCCAGAAATCAATATTTGGTGGAATGCTTTCCAAATACAGGGAAACTGCAGTGGTCTCTTAATTTTTTCCAGAGCTAGCTATATATATATA